TGGAGCCTCTCAGAATGGCCAAAGCATTCACAGAAGTTTTTGTCCTTAAGAGGAACTCTTGTACATTTTTCTTAAAGTCAAGCTCCAAACATTATTGATTATATCCTAATATTTCCTAAAGAGCGCTAAGTTTTGCATGCATGGGATGACTTTTTATTTTAAGGTCACAAAACGAATGAGATACAATATGCCAAGAAGTACTGTGACTATGGACATCATCTTTACAGTGGCAGATTGCATATCAACACTGAGATGGTGTTCTTCAAGACATTCCTCTGTCTTCTTGAATCTGCACTTTTCCAAAGAAGCATGCTTTATTTGTCCAAAATACGTGAAACAGATGCAGCCCAGGATGATCTGTTTTGTTTAAATATAAGGCAGTAAGTATATTACAGCTGCCAGTTCCCAAGCACTTATTCTCCATGGAAACTAATGTTGAAAATAAAAGGGCATGAAAATCAGAAGGCAGGGAAGCGAGGCCCTCAGACAGAGAACAAGTATCTCTAGGCTCTGAGTGTGCTGCACAATCTCTGACACTGAAGAAGTCTCTTACTGCTTTAATGGGAAGTGCTGAAGAGCTAGCCCACACACCAGAAGTAAAGACAAGTGTCGCTACCTTAGGCGATACATCCAAAGTTAGGAATTTTTGCACCGTGTCTCAACTGTCCTCTGAGGACTCATGAGTCACTTTTGGGGATTCACAAAGGAGGACTCAGAAAGGCAGATTAATATTAGCTATAAATCAAATATGTCTAGAGTCATAATCTGTATCTTCAACTACTTTTTTTTTCCTTATGAACAGCAGTTTTTTGGCAATCTTCTAAACCTCTTTAAAAGGTTTGCTCCTAACAACGGTCACTACACATCTCCTGTCATCACCTTTAGTCTAGGGCAGTTGCAGCTCTCATCACTTCTCCTGTGGCTACCTCAATATGTAGTGAAGATTAGTGGAGAGAGAAGCAGAAACAGGAGGAAGATATTTACCGTACACTTTAGGCTTGGCTGTACACTTTACACACTTACAGTGCTGTGCAGATCCAGCTCAAAAGAAAGTTATTTTCTCAAAACCTGCTACAGAGATACTAAGTGGGCACTTCATTGTAGAGGGAGTTGTTTTTAACATCAGTCAGCCAAGTAAAAATATAAAACTATTCAGATTATACAAGGGTGCTTAGAACAGTAGTGAGGAAAGTGCTAGAAGCCACATTGAGAGAACTCTCTATTATAGGAACACTACATGGAAGCAGACAGCAATACTAAATCTGTCAACATTTCAATTAGTAGTTTACACACCACGGGAAAATTCACTGTTCAAAGATGCCTGTAAATAACTTATTGTTAAGCCTTAGGATTTTTTTTTTTTTTTTTGCTGGTTCTGCCCTTTCAGTTCCTCTACGTCTTCCCCCATACGGCTATTGTTATAGATAGCCAGGAATACCAGATGTCTCTTTGTCATCTGACACCAATATATTGTCACCCTTTTCTGATGAGATTTTTGCTACTTCTAATATTTAGGTCATATCTAAGGTTTCTGGCAGCACTCTGGAAGCCCAGAAGCAGAGCAAGTGTCAAAAACAAAGTCTGCATTAAGACTCCATACATGCAACCAATTCTTGTGTCACGCTCTTAGCCCACTTATAAACTAAGCTAGATAAATTAAGGTAAACAAAGTTATATAAGCTGAACTCAGAGAAAACGTGGCTGAAAAGTAAAAGAAATACACGATTATTCAAGTGGACACCATTACCCTGCTATGGGACAAGCCTTTGCATGTTTTTAGCAATAGCAAATATGCATCATTTGGAAGGCTGATACAGTTTGTGGAAGAGGGGAAGGTCCTCTGATTTTTTTTCTTCCTCTCATTCTTCACCATTTGATTCCAGTGTTTTAAGTTCCAAAGAAGATTGTTCATCAAAAAGCCACATCCAGCTGACAAAGCAGGTGTAAAATGAGGTATGAACAAGTCCAGAGGTGGGACGATGAATTAGGAAAACATATCAGGGTGAAGAAGGAGGCATGAACAAAAAGCCTCTACAAGATGCCATCTTCAAAACCTTATGCAAATACCAAGATGTGAGCAACAATGTAATGGCCCGCTGGCTCAACATACAAAAATAATTCATTAAGACAGTGATGCTTGAAGGGACAGGTTTATTACATCTCCTACACCTTTTAGTTTTTGAGCCAGTGACCCAAGCAGTAATGAAAAGCTTAATCCCGAAAACCTTTACAACAAACTTAGTTTCAGGTTCTGAAATGAAAACCACAATTTATTTGTGCTGTTAATTAAAACACTACTTGTTTTTTTTTTTTCTCCTTCTCACACCTCAAGCTTGCAACTCTAAGCTTGCAATGGCATTTTCCATATAGCAATACTTAATAAAAACTACACTAAACACAACATAAACCTAAATAATAAGCCTTTTTAATTACATGGAATTGAACACCTTGCAAACAAAAGACACTCATTAAGATTTACTGACAGGTACTATATATTTTTTGGCAAATCTGGAACAAACCAGAAGAAAAAGCAAAGAATTGTTCTACAAACATGAAGGAAAGAAATGCTCATCTAGATGTAGGGGATTCATACTGCAGAACTGAAGCTAAAGAAAAAACCCACACTTACAGCAGAATTTTTTAATTCTTAGTGCAAGAAACAACCAAGTTAATCACAGAATCAGTACTAATTAAGAATATGGAAAAATCTCCTATACAGAGGTAGAGTCCAGTGCACAAGGCTAAAACGATATTCAATAGTCTAAACAAGACTGAGCCAGGTTTTACGGAATCCACTTTTTAAAGTATCAGACTGTATGTACATACATACAATAAATAGACTATACAATCTTTAAAGTAGTTTAATAAACTTCACAAAAATTATAGTAGATGCATTGAGATTTTTACATAATCCAAAGTTCATATCTCTCTCACCCAGAAATGGATAAAACCAATATTCCTGATATCAAGTTAAATCAAAAATAGTTTAGCAAAGTGTTGATAAATCAAAATATTTTACATATTTTTAAAGCCTAAATTTATGCTTATAAAGGATAAATTTCAAACGCTTTGAAAATGCTCCTTTTGATACCACTTGCAAAGAGGTTCCAAATGCTCCAATTTGCATTTTTACCATTATAAAGACTTTCCTTACATTCCACGTTCAAGGGAAAAATGGACTTGGGTACTCACAGTTCTGATGTGTTGGCACAAGAATAAATGATGAGTATTAGATTATTTTAAAGGCCAGAGACCTCAGGAGAATTTACAGACAAAGCCTTCATGTCTCATACCACACAAATCACATTAGAGAGTTTACAGAAAGCTGTTTGGTCTTAACCACTTCAATCTTGTCAGTGCTTCTCCGTCTGGAGACACCTGATTAGGATTGCACTGGAGTTCAAGTGTGCATCTCTGGGCCCCTAGGTTTGCTACAAGCCCATAGGGCTTAATAAAACAAATATGGAATCTTTACGGTTTACCACAGTAGTGCATAAATCAGGGATGTCTGTTGCCATTCATTTCAGTGATAGTCACAAAGAAAGGATTTCAGGGAACAGAGATATTTTTAACCATATCTTTCTAAACTGTGCAATTAAATGGAAAAAACATAGATCACTCTGGGATATTGCAGAGTAGAGCAATTAAATGCTTACTCTGGTAAATTATTTTCTCTAAAAGGTTCTTACAAATCCCAAGGGGGCAACAGGCATAGTAAGAGGGAACTAGCAACAACAACAGAAGAGCTTAATAATTTGCGTTTAAACTTATGTTCACAGTTTGGTTATTTTTAATTTCTATAAGCACCTACGCTGAAAAAATCGAGGGCTTGTACTTTAGTTTTAAAATTGAATCTACTTGTGACAAATACCTTGTTAAGATTACCATTCTGCTCTTCTACAGGCCTTCTCACTGGAACATTTTTTTATTATTTTTTATTTTATACAAACAGACTCACTTTGATTTAAAGTAAACATATAAAATTGAGAATATTGCTTGCAACAATGGACCTGGAAGTGAAGGAATGAACTAGTCAGGCCATACCAAAACCAAAGCAAAATAAAACAAACCAAACAAAAAAGCCCACCCAACCTACCTCAAAATGAATTCTACTGAACTCCTAACGCTGTGAAAATCTGCAAAAGGATCACAAGATCTGTTGCAAATTTCAGAGAGATTTGGCCCAAGTCGCATCATCATCATCTGAATACTTTAACAACTGTATGTTTATATTAAGGAAAAATAAACGATTCCAAGAACTCAGGAAGGCACACGTACCCAAGTATACACTATAAATAAAACACATCATGAAATTACGAATGATCTTCTGATCCCTGTACACACTTTTGGTTCAGCACTATGGTCAAGTTATCTCTTTAGAAATACAATGAAAGGCATAGAACAAATATAACATATGCATAATAATTCTGAAGAATAATGCTAATAAGACAGCTTACAGAAAAAAGTGCAGTGAAAAAAAAAACCAAAAACATAAAACACTTTATTCAGGGGCTTGTGCTACTGTAAATACAGACTTCGTATTTGCTGCTGTGCAAGGGGAAGAATTTATCCTGGAAAGCAGCGATGAGGAATGCAGAAACAAAAAGTAAAAAAAGATATTACAAGAAAATGTTAAGATGGATCTCTCCCAACTTCATTCCTCTAGTGCACAGTCATCTGACTACGTGGTTTGTTTTCATGCTGTCATTTCTCTTCGAAAGTACAGCGTATTACAAAAATGGCACAATTCTAAATTGTCTTCTGCCTCTACTTCCTTTTTTTTGTTTCTTCTTCCAAGCACCTGATTTGCTGTATCCTCATAAAATGGTAAAGCTGTTAGTGAAGTGAGAAGAAAATTGTTGCTTGTCTTCCTTCCCAGCGACTGATTTCTTCTTCCACTAGCTTGTGTGCTACACAATGGGGAGGCACTGTAAAGGCAGCTTGACAGATTTAAAAATTAAAATAATAATAATAAAAAAAAGAGTCTTTTTTCCCCCCCACCCAGCCTACCCCGAAAAATATTGGATGGATGAAATAGTCTATAGGAATATTTCAGTCTCCTCTGTTAGGAGATAATAGCAGGGGACCATCTAACCACAGTCAGATTGTCAGCACTGACTGACCGTTTCTTTGCGGATTTCCTGAAGTCCTTATATTTATCTTCACACAAGCGGGAAATGGCCTGCAGGATGAAAGAATGAAGAAACCTCAGTTAGAGGCCACAGCTGCACAAATAATATAAATAAAGCAAATCATGGATTTCTAGATATAGGCAGAATTATAAAACATCACTTTATTATAGAAAACCTGTGAAGATCTTTCTCAACTCTTCTATGCCAGTCATTACCTTGAAAGAACTGACCTGGCATTGCTCACCACAGTCATTTCTGGAGGATTTAATAAGCATATTCTATTTTTCTTTCTTTCTACAGTTTAACTGCCACAAATCTAGTGAAGGCAGTCAATAAAACTTAAATATTGCTGTAAGTAATACAGCACTTCTTTACTTATTGCTGTAAGTAATATAGCACTTCTTTGTTGAAAAATTAACTTGAATAGAATTATTACAGAAATTATAAACATATTCAGGGAACGTGGAAAGAGGAGGGCTCTTAATGTCTTTCTTTCTTTCTTAAAAAGTTGTGGTATTGTAATTATATATTTTCCTCTGCTGATAAATGGGGCAACAGGCTATCTTATATGCTGCTAGGGGGAAACACACATATATACTTTCATTTGAATAGTGAATATACTATATACTTTCATTTGCATACTTTCATTTGCAAGGCATTAAAAGGTCTTTTAAATGGAGACTGAAAAAATATTCTATCCTAAAAAAAAAAAGTCAGATTTAGAAGTAAGATGAAGTAAAAGAGTATATTTTTATTTACTTAAGAATGCTTTTAGTTGGTGTCTTAAGATAGGGAGTTTAAAAAGAGTAGAGTATAAATGTAAATCTGTAGAAAGTGTTTGATTATAAAACAAGGCAATATAAATAAACAACCAGACTCCACTGATCATCACTCTCTGTCTTGGTTTTTACCTTTACAGCATTGCAAACTGTGGTGGGAAACAGCCCTGGAAACACAACAGTACTGCAAAGATCAGAGGTGGGGACACCAGGGAGCGAATGTTCACCTCATGCTTTGGTCAATCCCTGATTACATGATTCAAAATAAACACACAGAGGAGACCATTTGCTGCTTTTTAGTTGCAGACTGAGTTTGCTTTACTGTTCTTGAACACAGCTTTCTTTTTTGGTACACGCAAATTGAATAACAGAGTAAAATAACATAAATATTTCTGCTGCTTTGTAGACCTTAACCTAACTCGTTTAAAATTGATTCAGATTTATATCCAGGGGAATCATGGCATAAGGCATGGCTTGGCAAAGACGTGCACTGAGGTGCAGCCTTGCTTCTTTCAGCTGTCAAATCAGTTCTTGATCTAGCATCACATAGCCAGGAGAGATGAACACTTCAAGACTCTGGGATTTCCAGGAAAAATTATTTTTGAGGACTTGAACAGACAAAATGAAATATTGCTTGGAACTAGCACTAAATATTTGTCGTTTCTACCTGGTGATTATTCATTTAGATGTGAAAGACATTGACTGTCTCACTAAACTACACACAGCACATAGACTCAAAGGGTACCTCAACAAATTTATGATACCTTTAGGTCATATGCTGATTGAAATTAAGAAGATGTACTTTCATTTCTTCATAAGACAAAGCTGCTTCTTACTGTCAATTGTGGGGCACTTTGAATCAGGAGAAATATTCTACTGTGGAAAGTAGTGCCATTTTAAACATGAACATAGTGACATTTTAAAAGAGTCCTACAATCTCAAAACTCATGGATCTTGTTTAGAAAAATACTAGAAAAGTAGTTCATACTAAACAAGTATTACAAAGACACTAGGGTAACTGCTGGCAGGCTAAATGCTGAAACACACTGAAGTGATTAGGCTACAAATTATGCTGCCTACTAGTTTCATGGAGAACTTAGGCAACCAAATATTGCCAGGGAGTAAGGATGCTCCCATCACCTTCCCTCACTTCTGGCCACAGAAAAGAGGCAAAGAACTGGTGGACCAGGCGGTTTCCATTGGACAGAGTCTTCCTCTTCCCTGGAGATATCCACTTCAGCCAGCAAGTTTATGTTAGAGTCACATGGTGCCAGCAGCACAGAACAACCCAAACAAAAGGGAGAATTTTTAAGAATACATTTTTTTTTAAAAAAAAACAGAAGTTCTGTTATTTAAAAAAATACACATTATATTTATTAGTACAGAATAACCACCAATATTCTGCAGGTATGCACAGTCATTTCCTGTCTTGTTTTAGGAACTACCTGTTATCTTCATTTGTACTGACAATGGTGTGAAATGTATTAAATTTTCTTCACAAAATAATTTGCTTTAATATATGCAATAGATCTTATTACCAAGATCCACCATCTACAAACTTTGCCAGCTGTCTTTTTCCTTTTAACTTTACAATCCTAATGAATTTTCTCATTTTTTATTCTAAAGTTTTAACATAAATAATTTTAGTGCAAATTTACTTTGCTCTTCATACACTGAACTAAGGTCTACTCTTATTAAATCTGGGAGATTTAGAAAGAATGTTTTAAGTAAAATGAGAAATACAACTTAAGTGAAATGACTTTTCATTCTTTTTGCACCACTTTCCAACATCCCCATTCCCATTATCATCACAAACAACTCAATCACCCTGTGCATCCTTTCCCCACCAGTGGGGCCCAGCACCTTACCTCAAGTTTACACGCTCTGTCCCTGCTCAGGGGCTCCAGAGGAAAACTCAGGTTATTAGTTTCTGCCAGGGAACGTAAATCAAAATAATACTTGGCATAGACACTGGAGGGAACATTAATATTGAACTGCAACAGCTCGAGAAACTGGCGTTCCAGCTCATTCCTGTAGAAAAAGATAAACATGAAAGTATTTAGCCACAGACGCTGCCATCGCCTGAATGTAACTTGCCTTAAGTTGCAAATGGCACAAACCCAGTTCACATCTTATTCTTGCAAGACAGAATTAAACAACTCTGAGGTTTGACCCACACGGCCGAACTCTTTGGGCGAGCCAAGGGAGGAGCCGCGAAGACGCTGCCCTCACAGAGGAGCCGCTGCGGGCGGGAAGGCGCCGACAGGCCGGGCCGGGCCGAGGCAGCGCTCCGAGGAAACAGGTTTTGAGGGGCAAATCACTCCAACATGGAAATTCCTGGAGAAACCCACCAGTCTTTCTCGCCTTTACAATCAATCACTTCCAAGTCTTTATGGGAAACCTGAGTTTTGCAGCACGCTTCTCCCTCTATGAACAGCAGGAAGCAGTTTCTCCTCAGCATGTGCATACAAAAGTCACAGTGCTGGCTTTTCTCCCCAGCAAATGTGTTTAACCAAAATACCAGATAGCGACAAAGAGACTGTATCTGAGCTCCCACTCAATGAAAATTGCTACATATCAATACATTATTATGCCAGTAAGTTAAAAAGTATGTAAATAAGTAAATCAACAAAATGGAAGATTGGCAGCTTACATTAGTTGTGTGGCATAGAGACAACCTATCCGATATTTATGCAGGGACATATGATATATTCAAAACAGTAATTTCAAAATTTGAGAGGTAAAAAACAAACCAGTGGTCAATGTTGCCTAGGTGTGCTGAAGAGCATACATTATACAGGGACTGCACTGAATGTCTTTTGCCCTTGCTGCTAGCAGGCCATCGCTCTCACTTCACAATAGTTTCACTTATGCTCACTTTCTCTTTGCCAAAATTCCACGTTTACATAAGGATAAATATTAATTAACAGTGAAAGACCGTCTAAAAGCAACACACGGACTAAACCTCTTTGGCATGCATTGGCATGCATTCACACTACTCAAGATTCTAGCTTTACAAAAAAAAAAGACATTAAATTTGTTTTTTAAGCAGTCTATTAATAAATGCAGATTATCTTTAAATTATTCTTGCAACATTTTACCTCCTGCAAGCTAAACCTGAAGGCACGTATTAAAAGACAACACAAAGCCAGTATTAACGGGGAAAGACGTCGGCTCTCTATGGAGGAGACCCCTCGTCTTTCAGAACCCGTGCAGAGCCCCACACCCCCCATTCCCCAGCTCCCCAGCTGATGTGGAGATCAGATCAGCAGAGCAACTTCACGAGGCAATGGAGAAACAAAACCCTCACACTAGCTCTTATGTGAACTGATCTACCTACCTAACAACCAGCCTTCCTCTGACAGCCCCACGCTGGACGGTTCTAGCACTCCTGACACCGAAGTTCAGGGCAGTGCTACGTGCATGGCTACAGATACACACAACTGTTCAATCCTTCCGAGTCCTCTGCTGGCTTTTAGTTCTCGTTTAACATATGGTGATGACTGCCAAAACTCAAAGGTTTGCGTAGCGTTTTGCAAGACATGCTTATGCTTAACGAGTCACAATAGTTGACAATTTTGACCTAGATTTTCTTTCTGCCTTTTTGCATTTTAACATAAATAATTAAAGTTCCTGTCTAGTGCAGAGGTAGGCAATTCAAACCTTAATAGTTCTGTCCCAAATGCCTGGAAGAGGAAAAAACAAACAAACAAACAACAAAAAAACCTGGCACAGGAAGAAATGCACCAGCAGATCCATCAAGCTCTGCTTTCTTTGCCTGAGAATCCACAAGCCCCAAATACAAAGCCCATGACCTGGGCCAGCAAGTGCCACAGAGCGAGCGAGCACAGGCTCTCCAAAAGGGAGCTGGTTTTGCAGTCTATGAGAACCCTAAAATCTTTACAGAAAATCTAAGAAGCTAAAAATCCAGCAGACAAGGATTCCCCATGGTTCTGCCTGGCCAGTGCGAAGGGCAGGAAGAGCAGTACTGCTGGCACTCGAGCACAGCACATCGGCTATTTGAGTAATGGTTTTATAGGGCTCAAATGCAACTTTCTACACTTGTGTAAATTGCTAGTTAAAAAACTAGCACTGGTGTCATATGCCGATGTCAAAAACAATAGCTTTTTTCATTTCTTTTCATACCATCATGGTGTGCCTCTTTATCTGCCTCCAAAAAAACTCACTGAGAACCAGCAATTTAAAATCTCCTATTTATAGCCACTCCTGATCAATACTGTCATACAGCACAAAGCTGACTGTGTCTCAACCTCTTCAGAAATCTATGAGTGGATGCACTAGCTTCCAAACCACTTAGATTTGTCTTGAAAAGAGGAGTGAGTGTAGGAAGACCCTTCCTGCAACTGAATATGCGAAAGCGCAGGAAAAACATAAAGGGAAAAGTAGCTTAGCAAAATCATTCAAGAAACACTGGAAACAGTCAAGAAAGCATTACCAAATTGGCCTTACATTAGCTTTTCTCTCTACCTGGTCCCCCTCATTTTATTTTAAAGAGCCTCATTCTGCCATATTTAAAGAAAAGTATCATCAAATATCCTTAAAGATTATTGTAACCTTTACATTATAAAGTCTGGATTGATGTGATGTGATGTGAAATCAGAGTTTTCCCCCAAAGTAGTGAAAGGACCCACATCATCCTAAAGGAATGTGGGTTTCACATTTTTTCCTCCGGCTCAGGACA